GGAGTATAGGTGAATGAGGAGTATCGTGTTGCTACAGGTGGCTGATGTTCGGGTGAGAGAATATGGTTGAGAGCACACGGGTGTGGAGTGTACTCACCTAATTGTGGTTGCAGGGGTTGAGACTCAGTTCCTGGCCCCCGCCTCTTCACTGATCGCTACTAGGTCCTCTCCCTGCTCCATGAGCTTTATCATACCTCGTCTTAAAGCTTTGTATGGTTTGTGCCTCCACTACATCACTTGCTAGACTATTCCACTTCCTGAGTGTGTGGATGAGGGCTTGCAAGCTAATGAATGGGAGTGTGCGAGGCTGCTAGAGTGAGAGCAGGATACTGGGTGAAGAAGGGTGAGTGAAATTCTAAGTGAAGGGGTGAGAGTGGCCCATGGGTGTATACTGTTACTGCTGTTTCACTTTACCTTCATTCATTGTACATGAAGTATGTGTGGGTGAGGGATGGGTAGAGGCAGATGTGTGGGGATATGCAGGTGAGGGTGAGTGTATCTGGGGATAGGTGGGTAGAAGTGCAAGGAGGTCCATGAAAATGGGGGGGGGGGAGTATTAACCCTTTCAGGGTCCGTCCCGTAGATCTACGGCTTTACATTCAGGGTCCAAACCGTAGATCTACGTCATGAGCTCAGCTCACTCTGATAAACTGTGAGTGGTACATTTGGGCCTAGATATGAGAGAATACATCTGTGGTATGTGTGCACCACATAAAACAGATCCTGCAGCACACTGTGTATAATGAGAGAAAAAAACTGAAATCATGATTTTTCGATTAAAACTGCGACTTTGCAGTATTTTTTCTTATGTTTTTTATAGTTGTATTTGCGATTTCTTGGTCTCATTTGATAGAATGGAAGACATATTACAGAAATAGAGATGATTTTGATTGGTTTTAGCACTGGAAATGGCTTGAAACTGAGCTCAAAATAGCAGAAATGTTAAATTTTTGCCGATATTCAAGAGTAAACAAACGACCTCACACGTCTAATACACGCCAGCTGGTGGGTCTAATATGCATTCACAAATATGGTGATGATATTTATACAATTATTACAGTATTACATAACAGTAAATCTGTTATGATTTACTGTTATGGTGTGAATAAAAATTCATTATGTAAATAAAAAATAAAAATGGAATTTATTTGTAAAGCCTCAAAACATAACTAATGAACAGAGGAAATGTTAGTTTAGTTCCAGGAATACCTACATTGTTTATTCTGGACCCTATTTTGAAATTGGAATATTTTGAACTTGTGTTAAATTGGCCAAATTAACAATTTCCGATCACTTTAATTTGTAGTTGAAACAGTTGACTTGGCGATTTCTTGTGCTCAGTCAATAGAAAAGAAGTAATACTAGTGAAATAGCTAAGAATTTGGTTGACTGGAATAATGTAATTGGCCTAAAATGGGAGTCAAAGTTGGCAAAATCGCCGATTCGTAAATATCGCTGACACATCAAAATTCGCGAGAGCATAATTTCGTCAATTTTCCATCAAATTTCGTACTTTTTGTTTTATTACCTTCACAAAAAGATTCTCTACCATTTCATAAGAAAAAATAACAAATTTTTTTTTTTGAAAATTCTTGGACACTGGGGACCACTTCAGATTTGGGCCTTGGACCCTGAAGGGGTTAATGAAGGGTAGCTGTGGGAGATGGGCAAAGGTGGGGTCAATAATAAGTGTCGGTGGGAGTGGGATGTATGTTGGCCAGGTGAGGTGATGACGGAGGGCTCAGGCACTAAAGCAATCAGACAAGTGAGAACATGAATTTTCATATTTACTATATTAAAATTAACTAGATTTTGACTTTAATATGTAAAATGTTAATGCTGTTATACAGTATGTACAGTCATTCTCCTGAATTCACATGCATTAAGTTCCTTGAGAGGCTCAACAGATTTAGAATTCAAAAAATATACAAAAATATATCTGCAAAGAAAATTTTGTTTCAGATTTGGGTTTATTTTGTTTCAGAGGACATAACATTACAACACTCTAATCTGGTTAATATTAACCCTTTCGGGGTTTCGGCCGTGCCAGTATGGCTTACGCGCCATGGTTTTTGGCATACTAGTACGCAATAAATTCTAGCGCCCTGAAATCTAGCAAGAGAAAGCTGGTAGGATGGGTCTATGTGGTCAGTGTGTGCAGTAAAAAAAAAAATCCTGCAGCACACAGTACATAATGAGAAAAAAAAAAACTTTACCGTGTTTTTGGTTTAAAACAGCGACTTTGCACTGTATTTTCGTATGGTATTTATTGTTGTATTCTAGTTTTCCGGGTCTCATTGTATAGAATGGAAGACATATTACAGAAATTGAGATGATTTTGACTGGTTTTACAATGAAAAGTACCTGTAAATTGAGCTCAAAGTAGCAGAAATGTTCGATTTTTACAAAAGTTCAAAAGTAAACAAATCATGCTAAGCGTCCAATACACATCAACTGGTGAGTCTAATATTCTTTCACAAGTGCGCCGATATTATTTATACCATTTCTACACTAATGCAGTAGTCTGCATAACAGTAAATCTTACTATTTTTGTGAGTATAAAAAATCAAAGTGGAAAGCAAAAGAAATGTAAGAGGGGCCTGGGGATGTGACTAATGAACAGAGGAAATGTTATTTTAGTGCCAGGAATGTCTTTCTTGTTTATTCTGGACCCTATTTGGAAATTGGCATCTTTTGAAATTTGTGTGAAATTGGCAAAATTGCTAAATTCTGATTACTTTATTGGATAGTTGAAATCGGTAAATGGGTGATTTCTTGTACTCATTCGATAGAAAAAACGAAATTCTAGCGAAATAGTTATGATTTTTGTCGACTAGTACACTGGAATTGGCCAAAAATAGGGCTCAAAATGGGCAAAATCGCCGATGCGTAAACATCGTCGAGACCTCTAGCTTCACGAGAGCATAATTCCGTAAGTTTTCCATCAAATTTCATACTTTTGGTGTCATTATGATCGGGAAAAGATTCTCTATCTTTTTATAAGAAAAAATAATTTTCTTTTTTTTTAAATTTTGGCGACCCTGAGAACAAGTCTCTGAGAGGGACTGGCAACCCTCAAAGGTTAACACTTGTGTAAAGAATGACTAAAGAGAAAAGAGATCTGGCTGTGGGAAAGTCATTACACACATTTTGAATGAAATGCTATGGTTAGTTTTAACCTTTAAACTGCTGAAGCGTTTTAAATAAATATTCCCTCAGTCCTGGCGATTTTGTGGCAAAAAATGATTTTATCATGACCAAAAATTTCCATTTTTTTAAACCTTTCAAGACCCTAGGCCGAAAAATTGCCCAGTAGTAATTTAAAACAGAAGATTTTTGATTTGTCTTGAAAGTGACTATCCTGTTGTTGTAATAAAGCAAAGTACGAAATATTGTGAAAATTTGACGAAAATGGCAATTTTTAATTCACATATTTACAATGATTTTTTTATACTTTCACTCCCTTTAGCCCAATACTTTACTCCAACTCAACCAAACTGATTTAGGACTCATTATCGATGGCACCCAAAAATCTTCAAGTCAACTGTTTCCCCAAAATGGCATAAATTGTTAATTTTGGCAGCACAAAGTTCAAAATATTTACCAAGCCTCTAAAAATGGGCTCCCGAATAAAAATGCAGCAACAGTAACTTACATTTTCTGATTTTACTTTTGTTTCGTTGGTAAAAATGTTGAGTTTTTATTCCAATGAATTTGTAAACCAAAAATAGGATTTACTGTTAGCAATACATGAAAAATTTAAAAAATTAATCAACCTATTTTTGAATCTAATTTGAACCAATGCTGACTTATTAGATGTTGAGGTTTTGTTACTTCTTGTACAAAATTAAATTTGTATTGATCATATTCAAGAATTTCCAGTGCTAAAACCAATAAAAATGTGACTTATTTCTGTATATATTATTGATCAAATGTACCACGAAATCGCAAATAAACTAAAAAAATCATACAAAAAACTTGCAAATTTTTTTGAAAAATGTTTTACATTTTTATTCAAGTTCATAATGTACTGCAGATCTGTTTTAATGAGATGCACACATACACATAGATGTATTCTCTCATATCTAGGCCAAATGTACCACTCATCGTTTACCAGTGACTGAGCTTTGACGTAATCTACTGGTTTGGACCCTGACGTAAAGCCGTAGAATCTACGGACGGACCTGAAAGGTTAAAAGTGTAATAAGACTTGGACTGAGTAAAATTGCAGTAGTACTTACGGAGATGTGAAGGCTTGAAAGTGACCTATGCCTGTGTGTTCTTATAGCATGTATGCATAGTTCAGTAATACTAAGGAAATGGCATTTTCTAACTCACAGTACTTGCACACATGATTTTTTTATACTGCACTCACCTACAGCCCACACCTGTTTACTCTCATGGAGGCCTAACCAGACTGATTAGGACCATTATGGAGGCCCAAAAATTTTGGCATAATGTCAGTTTCCCCAGCTGGCATAAATTTGTCATTGGCAGCATAAGGGTTAATTATAGTGATTGTGTACCAAGCCTCTAAAAATGGGGGTCATGAAAAAAAATGCAGCACAGTAATTACATTTGCTGATTTATGCTGGTTGTTTGTTGGTAAAAATGTTGAGTATTTAAATCCCATGAATTTGTAAACTCTAAAATTTAGGATTTGACTGTACAGTACATGAAAAAATTTAATAAATTAATGCAACTTATTTTTACATCTAATAAATTAATGCAACTTATTTAAACATGTTAATTTATGAACTTAATGTGTAATTATATGATTGTACAATATAAGATTTGACCAACCATAAAGGAGATGTGAGCTTATTCTGATATAGTTGATCATTATGTACTACTTAAAAATAAACATTAAAAAAATCTTCAAAATATTTTATATATTTGTTTGCACAAATGTTTTAAAGCATTGTTTATTCAAGTTCAAATGTTGACTTAGATCTTACACTAGAGAATGCCTAACATAAGCTATAGTGATGTTTCTTTGCCATTTATCTTATCTTTGTATTGCCAGCTCTGTGTTTGGTCACCTACTCGGTTTGGCCATCTTAGTTACTGTCAACATCAGCAAACTGGAACAACTTCATGTCCCTGTTATCAGCAGTAGAACAATTGACTGAGGTACAAACAGTACTGCTATTTTACTTTGAATAACTTTTGAATTATCTTGTGGTTTGGATCTGTTACTATAAAACAGGATATTTATTTTCCAACAAATGTAACTAGATGAGTATAAGTTGGGGAAATTTACACAAAATGGTATTTTTTTTGAAAGTCCATAATGTACACCATGTTTTGGACAAAATGCAAAGCTTAGATATAAAGTGGAATCCTGGTTTTCATCTGGTTCGGTTATCGTACAATTCAGTTTTCGACCACTTTTCGGCGAAATCTTCCCCGTTTTCATACATCCGCTTGGAAATCATCTGTACCAGACGTGTCCGCCTGCCCACGGATGTGGTCCGCTCATACGTTCGTGACTCGGTCTGCCTTGTTACTCGTTCACTAAGAATGTCCCTCAAGTCTTAATGCCATAGTAATAATACTAGTACTTAATAATAATCAATCTTATTTTACATTAATATAGACATTTTCATTAATCTATCTATGATATTTTCTTCAAAATTATATAAGAAACACGTTACATTGCATATTAACATGCATGTGTTTATATGCTATGGACGAGTGTAGTTGGTGGAGGGAAAACATTGTTTTTCTGTCAAGCACCAGAGAAAACGTGTATGAATCTGCGTGGGCCCAGTCACCCCCCCCCTTAAACATAATGCTTTTGTTTACAATTCTTTTGCATGAATTATTCGTTACCTCTCCCTTTGTTTATGATGGCATCTAAAGGTAGTTGTTAGAAATGAATTAAACTCAGTGAACATGGTATGTCGATGGTAATAATATGGCCAGGCCGCATTTTATATCGTGTAGCTATGCAGGTAGGTGTAGTTATGTAGCCCAGGCAGATTACATACCTACATCTACCGACTACCTGCACCGGACTTCCTACAATAAGTGTTACTCCACCTCTCGCCCTACATTAAGACAACAAATATTTTAAGGTAAGTAATGAATGTACTGTGTATGTATTTACTTTTATTGTGTTTTTTAATGCCTAGTTCTATTACTAACTTAATACTATAAGTTAGTGTAAACTTGACAACCCTATGCTTGTTGTGGAATCCATTGTGGCTTTGGGAAGTAATCAGGGTTGGATGTGAGTGGCTAGGAATGGAAGAGTTGGTGGACGATCACAGGGAAGAGCTAACCACTGAAGAGCTGCAACAATATAGTTATTCTCTATAAAATTTATTTTTTGTTATATTTTTGGGTATCTGGAGAGGACTAATTGGATTTACATTATTTCTTATGGGAAATATTACTTCAGTGTTCTCCTCAAATCGGTTTTTGGCTGACCTTCTGGAACGGATTAAAGATGAAACTGGGGTTCCATTGTAAAAAATACAATTCAGTTCAATTCATTCAAGTTTATTCTCTATAAGGGTTACAATGTGGGGTTTACAGGTTTTGGGTATTGTGTGATTTACATGTTATAAAATACTAATTACAGAGGGGCCACTAGGACACCTAGCGTGACTAGGCATTTCTGGCAGACTTAGATTAATTCTTAACATTAAATCCTTACAGATTATGGTATTGAGGCTTAGTGACTACATCATAATTTGTGAGTTTAGCAATGTGAATGCTTTTGTTTTGGCACAATACAAAGTGTCAATATTGGAGTATCATAGGCAAACTTATAACTAGTTGGGAAAATTATTATTTTAAGTTTAAGATTAGTATTTCTGGGTTTATAGTCAGTGGGTGAGTGAGTATAATTGTGAACCACCAGGTGGTTATCATGTAGTTAGTTGTCGGGGTGTATCAGGGAGATGAGATGTTTTCTAACTTAGTTTTGAAAGGATGAATGTGTCTGCAGTTCCCAGAGTTTTCAGCAGGGGGTTTTCCCGATTTTAGGTCCTTTGAAATACATTGAAATTTTTGTAAAGGTTTTAGTGAACACGTTTGGGGGGTTTTGTGTGTTTGGTGGTGTGTGGTGTGTGCGTGTGTGCGTGTGTGTGGTGGTGTGTACTCACCTAGTTGTGGTTGCAGGGGTTGAGTCATAGCTCCTGGCCTCACCTCTTCACTGGCCTCTCCTGGGTCCCCTCTCCCCGCACCATGAGCTTTGTCATACCTCTGCTTAAAGCTATGAATGGATCCTGCCTCCACTACATTGCTTCCCACACTGTTCCTCTTCCCGACTACCTGTGACTGAAGAAATACTTCCTAACATCCCTGTGATTCATCTGTGTCTTCAATCTCCAGTTTTTGTCCCCTTGTTGGTGTGTCCCATCTCTGGGACATTCTGTCTCTGTCCACCTTGTCAATTCTTCTCAGTACATGTATTTTATATGTTGTTATCATGTCCCCCCCATCTCTCCTGTTCTTCAGTGTCGTCAGGTCGATTTCCCTTAACCTCTCCTCATAGGACATACCCCTTAGCTCTGGAACTAGTTTTGTTGCAAACCTTTGCACTTTCTCTAGTTTCTTTACGTGCTTGGCTAGATGTGGGTTCCAAACTGGTGCCGCATGCTCCAATATGGGTCTAACACACAGTGTACAGGGTCCTGAACGATTCCTTATTTAGATGGCGGAATGCTGTTCTTAGATTTGCTAGGCTCCCATATGCTGCAGCAGTTATTTGGTTGATGTGTGCCTCAGGAGATGTGCCTGGTGTTATACTCACTTCAAGATCATTTTCCTTGAGTGAGGTTTGTAGTCTCTGTCCCCCTAGACTGTACTCCATCTGCAGTCTTCTTTGCCCTTCCCCAGTCTTCATGACTTTGCACTTGGTGGGGTTGAACTCCAGGAGCCAATTGCTGGACCAGGCCTGCAGCCTGTCTAGATCCCTTTGTAGTTCTTCCTGGTCCTCGTCCAATTGAATTATTCTCGTCAACTTCACATCTGCAAACAGGGACACTTCGGAGTCTATTCCTTCCGTTATGTCGTTCACAAATACCAGAAACGGCACCAGTCCTAAGACACTCCTGTGGAACCCCACTCGTCCCAGGTGCCCACTCTGACACCTCTCTGCGTACCATGACTCACTGCTGTCTTCCTGACAGGTATTCCCTGTTCCATTGTAGTGCCTTCCCTGTTATCCCTACTCGGTCTTCCAGTTTTTACACTAATCTCTTGTGTGGAACTGTGTCAAACGCCTTCTTGCAGTCCAGGAAAATGCAATCTACCTACCCTCTCTCTCTTGTCTTACTGCTGTCACCATGTCGCAATTATTACTACAGAAAAAGCAATTATTACTACAGAAAAAGCGTCCTTCCTCCAAAATTTCCACCAGTCAACTATAGTGATAATACAGCATTTATTGTGGTGGAGACGAAAAAAAACTAGAAAAGCTAGATACAGCGATTGATAAACAAGGGTTGAGGCTCGACCGTTCGTCATTGTAGGAGCTGCCAGAAATCACCTGGTTTCTTCAACACGCAAGTTATACTTTTGTATCAATCAAATCACATATTACTCGGGTAGATAATTTCCAGTAGATCCTTCATGTGTTAGCCCAAATCACCGACCAGTATGTTTTAAATAAGTGACCCACTGATCAGATCAGATAGACTGGTCTGAACCCTCGACTGGTCCGAACCCTTGACTGGTCCGAACCCTTGACTGGTCCGAACCCTTGCCTGGTTTCAAACGGATTCGTTGGACAATAAAGCAGACTGTAAACGGATGGGGTTGTAGGCGCCCTTATCAAACACAAACAATAAATATAAATCAGGAACGTACACGGTAAGCTGTCCAATATACTGTACAAGTACAGTTAGAAATAGAAATACAAATAGCTAGAGCTTCATTTAAGGAGGTTATTAATAGAATATTCAAGAGGTTGCTAGTAGAATTACAGTAAATCAACCATTCAAATCATTATGAAGCTCTGTGTAGTCTGCGGTCAATCAAACAAACGGGCTTCCACATGGATAAATTGTCATTTTTGTGGAAATTGGTGTCACGCCCCTTGTGCACATATCCAAGAACTATCTACAAGCAGTATTAAAACAGGGAAGTGTTTTTGGGTATGCCCAAATGAGATAAATCTGTGGACTAAAATCACAAGGGTATTAAAAGAGGATAACATCAAAGCTGCTTTCATAGAAAACCTGGAAGCTTTCTACAACAGATGGGAACATAAAAAGTCTGGGCTGAATGGTACTGCCCTTGATACTGGCCATGTAGTCAGAAACTGTAAGGCTGGAGGTGATGTCCTGGTAGTCAGTAAATGTGGGGCTGATAGTGCTGTCCTGGGAGACAGTAATTGTGAAGCTGGAGGTGCTGTCCTGGGAGACAGTAATGGTGAAGCTGGTAGTGCTGTCCTGGGAGACAGTAATGGTGAAGCTGATTTTGTCCAGGTAGTCGGGAATTATACGCAGGAAGGAATACTTATAAATGACCTCATAGGGGACAGGAGCTGTAGTAGGGAAACAAGTGTAGTCAAAGATAAGATAAAACTAATATTGCAAACTAGAAATACCACAGGAAATAGCAAACAAGAGGACTCCACTAGCAATAGTGAGGATATATTACCAAAAACAATTGGTGGGAGCTCCATTGTTGGTGCTAGGGAGGATAGGAATAAGACAGGGAAACATGCACCAACAGGGAATACAGTCACAGAAACCCAAGGCAAACGGAAACCAAGCCTGTGCACATACTATGCACTTGGTATCTGCAGGCATGGGAAATCTGGAAAAATAGACGGGACGTGCAACTATGACCACCCTAGAAAATGCCATACCCATATGACAACAGGAAAATGCAAACTCCCTTCCTGTAAGCTTTTTCACCCTGAACTGTGTACCTCTTCAGTACAGGAAAGACTGTGCTATAACTTAAATTGCCAGGCACACCATCTAAAGGGGACAAAAAGATACAAAACATCCTGGCCATGGGAAAACCTGGGGGGTAGCCACAGCCACTGAAGAGGGAGAGGTTTTTTAGTGCCAGGAAGGAAAAAAAACTGGCAGGAAATGGCAGAAATCGTACACCAAATCCAGTCATTCCTGGAGTGGAACCACAGTCGATGGCCTCCACTCCAAACCAACAGATACAGATACTAATGCCGGAAAAAAAATCCCCCCCCAGTACCAACAATACCACCAGTCCGATGACATTCTTCTTTGCAAATATACAGGGTCTAAAGCCAGCAACAAACAACAAAATACCTTTCATCCGTGGACTGCTTGCAGAGGCAAAGGCAATGTTCGCGGCTTTCACTGAGACCCACATAAAGGATCACTTGGACAACGAAATATGGATCCCAGGTTACAACCTATACAGATGTGACAGAGTGAACAGGCAAAAGGGGGGGGGGTTGGTCTGTACATTGCAGAGTCACTTGTTTGCACAGAAATGCTTAATGCCTCAAATGATGTAGTGGAAGTTTTAGCAGTAAAGGTCGAGAACCAAAACCTAGTCATTTTGGTAGTCTACAAGCCTCCGGATGCAACATCCCAGCAATTCCAGGAACAGCTGTTAAAAATTGACCACTGTCTGGAAAATCTTCCAGCTCCTGCACCCAACATCTTGCTCCTGGGGGATTTCAACTTAAGGCATCTAATGAAAAGCAAGGGTGTCACTAGCACGTTAAGAGACCATACAATAAGTGTCAGGGGCCCAAGACTGTTCAACTGCCTCCCAGCATACATAAGGGGGATTACCAACAGACCCCTGGCAGTCTTCAAGCTGGCACTGGACAAGCACCTAAATCGGTTCCTGATCAGCCGGGCTGTGGCTCGTACGTTGGTTTGAGTGCAGCCAGCAGCAACAGCCTGGTTGATCAGGCTCTGATCCACCAGGAGGCCTGGTCACAGACCGGGCCGCGGGGGCGTTGACCCCCAGAACTCTCTCCAGGTAAACTCCAGGTAATGCCCATAGAACTCCAGTAGGTTTGTGATACAGGATTTCCCATCCCTGAAATTGTGTTGGCTGTTGTTGATAAGCTCATTTCTTTCTAGGTGTTCCACCACTCTTCTCCTGATAATCTTCCTCATGACTTTGCATACTATACAAGTCAGTGACACTGGTCTATAGTTTAGTGCTTCTTGTCTGTCCCATTTTTTAAAAACTGGGACTACATTTGCTGTCTTCCATACCTCAGGTAATCTCTCTGTTTCGATAGATGTGTTGAATATTGTTGTTAGGGGTACACATAGCACCTCTGCACCCATCTCAGGACCCATGGAGAGATGTTATCTGGCCCCATCACCTTTGAGGTGTCTAGCTCGCTCTGAAGCCTCTTCACTTCTTCCTCGGTTGTATGTATTGTGTCCAACATTTGGGTGGTGTACTCCACCTGTGTGGTGTGTGGTGTTTGTTGTGGTGTGGGTGTGTGTGTGTGTGTGTGTTATATTATATATAAACAAACAAACAAACAAACACTCTATTCAAATTAAAAAACCCAAAATTTGCAACAGCTTTCTGAAGGCTCTCTCATATTTAAACAAACAATACCTTCAAAATGTTGTCATTGTCTAAAAACATCACTCAGATTTGATGGAATATTAATATATAACAATCATAAACATTTTTCATTTGTATCTTATACCCCTACCTTATGTAATTGCTGCTTCTTCATTGAAATCTAATTCATTATATTATGTATTGGCTTTATTCACACTGAATTTCACATAGAACTTAAATTACATTTTATAATTTTTTTTTCCACGTACTTTTCCTTAGAATTTACAAAAAGATGTAATCCCAGAGCTGACTCAGTATTGCAATTCTAGGACATTAAATTTTCTTTGATTTTGACCGTTGATGATTCTAAGAACTTAATCTATTTCATATTCTTTTACAGTATAACCTTATATAGTTTGTTGTTATCATATCTTCCCTTCTTCCTGTCAGCCAGCTTGGGGACTTGTGTTTTCAGCCTTTCATTATAACTCATATTTTGTTTTAGCTCTAGGTTACACTTTGTACCTCTTCTTTGGACTTTTCCATCTGATCCACTTTTTTGAGTTGTGAAGACAATTTATGTTGTAAACAGTTTTTTCAGCATCTTTCCATGCATATGTTGCATTTGAAAACTCTTTTATAGCCTGTAAGAAATAATAAGGGATGGATGCCAGACAAAAACAATGCCTCAGCTCTTGCATTACAGATTTTTTTTTACAGTGCAGTATTTCAGTTTTATGAATGGTATTCAATTTTATGTGTATTGACTATGTACCATTGTATTTATATTTTTTTATATATTTTTTTTTATCTCTGAGCAGTATTTATTGTTGAGATCTGATACCAGTTTATTGCTTCTTCAATCCTTGGCAATGGGATCATCATACCTGTATCTTCTGCCTCTCACGGTCTTCGTACTCTTCCCTGCTACCTTCATTATCACGTATGTAAAAACCTGTGAAACCTCATAATTTATATAGTGATTTTGTTAATAATATTCCTAGAATGGCATCAGCTTCCTAGTTAATTTCTGTGGTTAAAAGACTCTTTCCACAGCATAAAATGTAATGGTTTGATAAGTCATTAACCATATTTAATAACTTGCAACAGGTACACCATATCAGTTTTGCTGCACCATACTGAGCCAGACTTTCCATACATCAGTGATACAGGAACATACTCCCCTGAGAGCTGTATCTTTGGCCAAGCCCTGAACATAGGGGCTTTTGCTAGTAAGTTATTTTTTGCTTTAAAATCTTGGAACAGTGTATTAAAAAAATAAACTTTTTTTGAGAAGCTGGTACTGGATTTTTTTTCACCATTGTTTTAAGTTTTATTGACTGTATTTTAAAAGTTTATAGCAGTTAAAGATCAAGTGGCTCACATCTGAAGCACCTGGATTCAATACCAGCACAAGTGGAAATGAGCATATTTCCTTACACCTGTTCCCTCTTTTTCACCGAGCAGTAAATAATTACTGTATTCGGGTGTTAGCCATCTGCTTTGGGTTTCATCGTGAGAAAGATCAAAGGACCATAGTGGAAATAAGCCAGATATAGTGATTTTATTATTTTATTCTGTGTTTAATATTAGCCCTCTTGGTTAATATTTATTTATTATCACACTGGCCGATTCCCACCAAGGCAGGGTGGCCCGAAAAAGAAAAACTTTCACCATCATTCACTCCATCACTCTTTTGCCAGAAGGGTGCTTTACACTACAGTTTTTAAACTGCAACATTAACACCCCTCCTTCAGAGTGCAGGCACTGTACTTCCCATCTCCAGGACTCAAGTCCGGCCTGCCAGTTTCCCTGAACCCCTTCATAAATGTTACTTTGTACACCCAACGCACGTAAGTATTAAAAACCTTTGTCTCCATTCACCTATCAAACACGCTCCCGCATCCCCGCTGGAAGTCCCCCCCTCACCCAAAAAAACCCTTTTCCCCTCCCTCCCCCCTTTCCCTAGGCCGACCCCTACCCCCCCTTTCCTTCCACAAAGATGTACATCTTAAAGTCCTCTGTTTCGCTCCTTTCTCTCTACAGTCAAACCACCTAAAAACACCCTTCCTCACCCCTCTGGGAAAACAGTTTTGGTAATCCCCCCACCTTCCTAACTTCCAAATCGAATTTGTTTTTATTCACACCCACATTCCCCTCAGACTGCATCTCCACTGCTCCAGCCTTCCCCTCGCTGAACATTCATACCCAGTTTCACCCCCCATGAAAGAGGTTGGTAAACTATATCTCATACTTTCCCCCCTTGTCTCCAAGGACAAATTTTGTCCCCAAGACTCCTAAGTGAACCACTCACCCTTTTCCCCTATCAATTCTATTTCACCTATCTTTCGACCCATCTGCTGACAGCCCATGAAAGTGGGGAATCATAGAATTGATGAGGGGAAAAGGGTGGTGGTGCCTTGGAGTCTGTGGAGCAAAGAACTTTGTCCTTTGAGGCAAAAGGGGAAGTATGAGAGTATAGTTTTACAAACGCTTTATAGGGTGTGAACTGGGTGTAAATGTTGCAGCGAGAAGAAGGTGGGGGTAGTGGAGATGTCTGTTGGGGGAAATGTGTGGTTGAATAAAATGCAGGAATTCGTATTTGGGGAATTTTGGAGGAGGTGGGGGATTACCAAAACTGTTGCCCGAGGGTGGGAAGGGTTGTTGGGTGGTTGGGAAATTGAGTTAATATAATTGGTTAAAAATCCAAATAATATCTCTTTAAAACAATTGGAATTTTCGTGCGATGAAGCAGGGGAAAATCTTGCACTGGTTTCCCAATGGTGCCCTTCATAGCTCGATTATTTACTTTGCATTGACTTCACTATGTGATGGAAAGGATAAAAAAGCTTTTGGCCCTTAAATTAGTAAAAAAAATGGGAAAGGAGAGAAATGAGGGACAAGGGAAAAGGAGGGTTCACTTACCTTTTTGATGTTTCGGTCGTATATACAGTGGACCTGGGTTTAAAACCCCTGGTCAGTAGCCCCAAAATCAGGTTTCCCGCTTTGGCGTGAAAAAAAAAATGGTCTGATAATGCCTAAAAACTAGGAGCTTTGTCTGAAATGTCGGCACGGCGGCTGGGGGGCCCTGGCCACTCACCCAGTCCCAGCCAGATGCCATTGTTTACAAACCCGTGAGGTGATTTGCGAGTACTGGTTTTTTTTATTATCCATTGTTTTTGGTGTTTGTAACTGAAAAATAAGCCACCAGGGGCCCCTAGAATTTTCTAGTGCCGCCTATGGAAAAGAATGTGAGAAAACAACAAAAAATTTAAAAAAATTTTGTCAAAAGATACGAAAGTGGGGGGTGGTGTGGGTGTAGCATGGTGGTGTAGGGGTGTGGGGTGTTGTGTGGTGGTATGGTATGATAAACAGGGTGGATTACCACATAGGAAAAATAGGCTTTTCCCTAGGGCCCCGCACATTGGGGGCCCCTGGCCCAAGGGGTTCAGGGGCTCACCCAAGGGACGACACTGGTGAAAGTGAAAAGGGGTCCCTCTAAAAAGTTCAAGTTTTTGGGAAAATAAATAATTAAAAAAATAAAAAAAAAAAATAAATAAACAAAAACATAGGGGCAACACTCAAACGCCTTTTTTTTAACCAGAAAGCTGTTTTTTCCTTTAATGGGTGAGTATGGGGATTCCTCCCCAAATTTTTCTGTGTAATTACACTTTATCTAGCCCTTGTATGTGACAATTAAATAAAAGTGTTTTTGATAGACATTGATGTGTATGGATAAAGTTTGTTTTCGCCTCTAAATGTTAAGGGGGTCCCTGATGGGGTTACTTGCCCAGTAAAGATGCATTTTTTGGTAAAATACTATAAAGAAAAACAAAAAACGCAAATGATTTCCTTTTGTGGGTTTTCAAAGCCCCTTTTGTCCTGCTTTAAGTTTTTTAATTTCAATAACAGATCTAATTGATTGATGTTTACACATTCTTCGCAAATGTTTTTTTTAAAGTTACGGGGAAAGTGATGTAGAACTCAATTAATTATAATATTTCCCAGAAACACAAAGCCCATCAAAAAGTTGGTTTGGGGAACTGAAAATTGTCCCTGCATTTTTTAAATTCTCATGCCCTTTCTTGGTGGGGGGCCAATTATGAAAAAATAATGGTAGTTTAGTTATAAAAAATGGTAATAAAAATACCATTGTGCTTTTTCTTGGATGGGTTTATGATTTTGTTTAAGAAAATTGGGAACAAGGGGATGAATTAGAAAAAATATTCTGCCCAAATCCAAACCTAACTATGGAAAAAAGTTTGATAGACCCCTTTTGGTAACGTTTTAAATTTTTAGGGCAGCCAGAGGAAAGGGGGTACAAGGCCATACCCCCCCAATTGACAAAAAAAAAAAATTTAATAATTAAAAAATTAATAATAATTATAATAAAAAAATTTTGTATTTGTGATTACGACAGTGATACTCCTATTAGGGCATCTGTGACGTGATTTTGGCGTTTTTTTTGGGGGGTGGGCCCAAAAAAAAAAAGAAGAAAATTCAAAAAGAACAAAAAAAGAAAGAGTAGGAAGTGAGAAAGATCCAGACATGCTCACGAAAAACAGTTTTGATGTTCCAGTACATTTGAACTGCGATACGTCGATATACGGGAAAGCCCTCCCTCTTATTTCTCACCCAGCATCTACTTTTTTTGTCTCCTCCAATGTCTAACGGAATTTCACCCCAAGGATTTGTCTTAAAGGACCTGCCTCGGGCCCAAAGTATCCCCGATTCTTAGTAGCTTTCATTGCAGAAAAAATTCACTAAAAACTGAACATTGATTTGGAAATCAGCAAGGATTTATGAGAGGAAGTCTTTGTTTTTTAAGTATCTAGTTTATAGGAAGCTTTCAAATTCAGAAAAAATGGAAAAGATATGGTGGTATATCTGAAAGTCAGGAAAAGTGTATGTTTAGCATGCAAGCTATTTTTACCAAAGAAAAAAACCTTCACAAGGGGTTCAATGCTGGAAAAAATTCCAAAACTTTTGAGGAACAGAAAAATCCCACTCACAGGGTGCATTTTTGCCAGTGTATTTCGTGGGACAGAAAAAAGGGTTATTGGATTCTCATTTGGAAATCAAATGAAAAAAACGCCCCTTATTGGGAAAGTTTAGAAAGAGTTGTGCTGTTGTAAATTCTTTGCTCTAAGGGATTGCTTTCCGTGGAGGGAAAAAGAGGTTTTTTGGGTTTGGAAAACAATGGCAATTTCCCAGGGTCATAGAAGTTTGCCAATTCGATCCCTTCTTAGCAAAAAAATGTACGTTTTGGGAAAGCAGGAAGGGCACGTATCTTACATTTCATTACATAGCAATGAATTTATTGAATGAGACAAAAAAAAGGGCCCCAATAACATCATAGCAGCTGTGAAAAAATGCAAAATACTTTTCAATAAGTGTAGATTCAACACCGTATTTAAAATACAGTCAAAGACATTATTGTTCGCTTTTTTGACTCCGTGGTAAACCTGAGAGCGCTTTAAAAATTCATTCCCCTCTAGGCCCTGATGGAGAAAAAAAAAGATGAATGTGTACTGGATACTCTGCTTGAACATGATCTCATTAGGATTGCGTGCCAGAGCTACGATAATGCAAGTAACATGTGGTAAAAATTGGATTTCAACCCCTATCAAGAAATCAACCCCTTGCTGATAGTGCCCGCTCAGCAATTCTTTAATCTTGTTTGGGGATGTGTGGGAGTGTTGTGTTGCGCAGTTTCATTTTTGGACTTTTCAAACACACTTTAATTTTTTTCTGCTTCAACGTCTGGAGTATATCAATCAACCATTTATGGTGTCATCAAATCATTTCAACAACAGGTGGTCAGCGCAAACATGATGCAACAAAGCTTTGAAAGGGCAGCTTTGCTGAAATACGTTCTGTTTGGGTCCCCAAAAAAACGAGGTGAAAGACCCGAAACACTACAAAAAGCAAGCAGCCAGTTGCATCAAAATTTGGAAGATTTTGAATTGGCCTTACTCTGGGCTTTGGGACGATATGGAAAGGTTTTAAAAGCCCCCGAACAAGACATTAGAAAATTTAAATTTTAAATGGCATTGTGCTAACCTCTATGCAGGCTTTGTGGAATTTGTAAACTCACTTTGCAAAAAGAAGCTTTGAAAGTTTGAAGAGAAAACTAATGCTGGTGAAAGACTACATTCGGGCTGATCATCGTGGTCAAGGAAGAGGAAAAGCAATTTTGAAGGCCAGACAATGGGAAAATTTTGTTTTACCA